TTTGTGGCGGATGGGCAAGTGACATAGAGCGAGCCAATAAAAGAAGATCTAGCAGATTTGGGTTGGTCTTTCGTTTTTGAGTTAGATCTAAAAACAAATAACAAATAGACTTTAGCAAGAAGTACAAAATTGAAAGATTCAAATAATCAAATGCAAAATTAAACATCTAAGTAACCAGAATCAAAAAGAATAACGTTCACAGCATACTTTCGAGCAGCGTAAAGTAAAATTTCGTTTTCATTACTTCGTTTAATTCTTCGGCATAACTGCTCATACATTGAATGTAAGCTTTCAAGCCCTTCTTCAGACATTGAGCCCAGGCATCTATTTTGTTTCAAAAAGAGCGGTACGTGCTTCAGCGCAACGTGAACTTTCACTGATTTTCCTCCGATAGCTGCCTTTTTAAGCCTTTCTAAAACCTCGTTAGTTGCCTCAGTGATGTTTTCGATTTCATTGTCATCCATGTTTTTTTTCGTTGATCCGATACGCTCAGCAAATTTTGCAAATGCATCTAGACAATCTAAGAGTAGAATGTATCGCGGAGAACTGATTAATGCTTTAAACTCATTAGCGGATAGATAAAATTTCTTCAATTTTGGACCGTTTAGATCATCCGCTTTGTAAGATTTAACAAATCCCAGCTTTTTTGTTAACCGATAAAAATCATCAATCTCAGATACCGTTCCTGAACTTCGTATCTCGGCTTCCATCTCTTTGTAAATTGCGTTTCCTATGCCAAGCTTTATATGAAGAGACGGAGGAACGCATTGGATTGGTTCAATCGGCCATACATACTTGCGAAAAACGCCAATCCTTTGTTCGGGAAACTTTTGATCAACCTTGAGACGGGCATCGAAATCCTGAATTGTTCGTTCTTGATAATTTTTACGGTCAAAGCTTTCCATTAGCCCAGTTACACCCCTTTTCTTATTCACCCTGAAGTGACACCAAATGCATGGGAAAGTTGATGCGTTTGAAAGACCATACAAACTCGCCAAAAAACTTAGATCACCAGTAACAAATAACTGGGTCTTCATTTGTTTCAGTTCCTCAAACACTTGTTGAAACTGCTTCAGGTTTTCGTGGTTATCGTTGCCCTTCCAGACGGCTATAATGAGGTGATTATACGGCGATTGTGGTTTCATCGATCTGTCAGGAATCATCAATGTAATTTTAGTTGTTTCAAAGCCTTTATCTCCGCTGAGAACAAGTCGCATTTTTTCGTGCGCTGGGATGTTTTTGAGCCTGTATTCCACCGCACTCGTTATGTCCTTTAAAATAACAACATTTTGCTTTATTACGTATTCCACTTTGCTTGTAATCGAATCCGAAAGCTTTCTCATCATGTATTCAGTAGCAAAATTTGGTGAATGGCTTGAATAAAGTCGATGAGCAGCTCGTGTGATTTTAGATTTCGAAAATAAGCTTAGCGTTTGAACTGGAGATAGAAATCCTTTCGAAATTCCCTTACCCATCACTTTCTTTGGCGCTATCCTATACTTTCGTTTGATTCTTCTGGCAATACTAAGCTGGCCGAGTTGCTTAAGTAGTTGCAAATTCCGTGATTTCCGTTTGATTAGCCTTTTATACGTTAGGGAAGTCATCTTAGATTTGATTGTATCTTTTTGTTGTTTCTTTTCCAATTGCATCTCAATCTGCTTCTTCCGTGTGGCTTTGTTTGCAAGTCGTTGTCTTCTGCTCGCCATCCCTGAAATGAATGTGTTCATAGAATATCAATTGAAATTTATGTTTTGAGTAGAATAAGTAATATACAGGAAACTTAAAAAGGGAAATATGAAAAAGAATAAATCTAAAATAGTAAAATGGACAAAACTCTTGAAAAAAAGCTATACAAAACTTTAAAAAAAATTCAAACGCAAATTTTGAATCGATTGCATTTTAGAATTCGACCTTTAAGCTATTGTGCGCGGGTTACGGTAGGTTATCCATTGCGATTTTCAAAACGATTTATCTGACCTCAAAATCAATGGTTTTTGACGTTTTTGGTCTTAAAATGACCAGAAAGAAAATATCTTTAAAAATTCGCCGGGGATTTTTGGTCCATCCTGAAATACGTGTTTTCGAGTGCTTTTTAGAAAACCCATAATGGGATTTTTGGGTAAATCTCATTTTTAAGAAAAACTGTCGAACCGATTTTTAAAAAAGTTTCAGATTCGGAATCAGCGCAATTTTTTACGTCGAATGGTATGTCAAACTTGAATTTTGACCAGAGAAATGTTTTTTGCCTTATTTCGCGCCGTTGTGTAGTGTCAATGAAAAAAAGAAACAAACTTTAAAAAAATTCAAACGCAAATTTTGAATCGATTGCATTTTAGAATTCGACCTTTAAGCTATTGTGCGCGGGTTACGGTAGGTTATCCATTGCGATTTTCAAAACGATTTATCTGACCTCAAAATCAATGGTTTTTGACGTTTTTGGTCTTAAAATGACCAGAAAGAAAATATCTTTAACAATTCGCCGGGGATTTTTGGTCCATCCTGAAATACGTGTTTTCGAGTGCTTTTTAGAAAACCCATAATGGGATTTTTGGGTAAATCTCATTTTTAAGAAAAACTGTCGAACCGATTTTTAAAAAAGTTTCAGATTCGGAATCAGCGCAATTTTTTACGTCGAATGGTATGTCAAACTTGAATTTTGACCAGAAAAATTTTTCGCGCCGTTGTGTATTAGTCTCTAGATTACATAAGTATACCAGTTTTCCTACCGCAATGAGATTATCAACACAGCAGACCAAAGAATACAGTCATGCACAAAAGTCTTGTAACATCCAGTTTATCAAATTTCAAAGTGTAATAACTTTTTTTGCAAAGAGGTGAATTCCCAAACAGTTTTTGGTTTTCAGTTGTCAAAAATTTCTATTTTTATATGCAAGAAAAACTTTATTGAAACGATTAACAAAAATTAAGAAAAACAAATAAAAACAAAAACGGGCGCATTTTTGATGCTCAAAAGTCTTTTAACATTTGAAAAAAACAGAAATTATCAAATTTTTAATACTTCGTTGGTCCACCTTTAGCTTTGTTGACTTCCTGGATCCGCTTTGGCATTGAATCAACTAAATCGCGTAGAATTTGGGCTCTCAGGGATGACCAGGTACGGAGTATGAAGAACCAAAGCTCTATCTTCGAGTTGAATCGCTTTCCCTTCAGCTTTGACTTCAAAAAAGCCCAAAGATGCTCAATGACGTTCAAATCTGGGCTGTATGGAGGAGCTGAGATAAGCTGAACACGATTTGCTTTGAACCATCCTGGAAGGCGAGCTTTTCCACCATTTGCGAGACTGACGACCCCGCCCATTAGCAATTGGCTCTTGTGGCAAGGCGCATTATCCTGATAAAGCAGCCATCCAGGACCCATTTTTGCAATTGAAAATGGCAGAAGATGATTCTGGAGAACTGATTTGTAGCCTTCAGCGTTGAGCGTTGAGTTTAGTAGCACTAGCGGACCTGGTGAATTTCTCGACATTGCACCTGAAAGACAGAGTTGAGAGTGTGCACCATGAAAGTAGCCCTTACCCCAAAGCATGATTGATCCTTGGCCTAATTTCACGGTTGGTCGCACATATCTGATGTTGTACCGCTTTCCTATTGGTCTTCTGATCAAGTGGTTGCCATCCGAGCGAAAAAGATTGACTTTTGACTCATCAGTAAAAATCACATTTGCCCAATCATTTTGTCATACTTCTTTGCAAACTCCAAACGAATCTTCCGATGCTTGGCATTCATCAAGGGCTTCTTGTCACGAACCCATCACGAATCAAGCGTCGGCTCACTGTCATTCGTGATACATCCTTGCCGAATTGACTCTTCATCATGACGACTCCATCGCTCGCATTGAGATCCTTGTTATTTTTGTGAGCTTTGACGAGCGCTTTATCCCCTCTGGGTGTTGTAATTGGTGGACGGCCTGATTTTGAAGCTCGGTGAACAGATCCAGTCGTTTTGAACGTCCCGACGTTTACAGATACCGTTTTTTCACTGCATTTGAAGAGAGCTGCCACATCTTTCCTCTGAATTCCTTTCTCTCGTGCTTCCACAATTTTTTCTTTGTCCCGAGTTGACAAATATTGTCCAGGCATCTAAAAAAATAATTTTTTGTTATATAAAAAGAAAATAAAAACAGAAAAAAAAGCAAAATACTTCAAATGTTACAAGACGAGCATCAAAAATGTTTTTCTTAATTTTTGTTAATCGTTTCAATAAAGTTTTTCTTGCATATAAAAATAGAAATTTTTGACAACTGAAAACCAAAAACTGTTTGGGAATTCACCTCTTTGCAAAAAAAGTTATTACACTTTGAAATTTGATAAACTGGATGTTACAAGACTTTTGTGCATGAGTGTATGTGCAAATTAGGGTCAACTATAGACTTGAGATCGAGAAAGTCAAATTTTTGGATTGTTTTGCATCCATTGATAAACACAATTCATTTCTTGTAAATTTACAACGAAAAATTTCACTCTTAAAGCATAACTTTGTGTAAAAAACGATAGACATCTGCTGAAAGAATTTCAAAGAAAATGCCAGGAGATCAGTGATTTCAAAAGCAAAACGAAAAAGAGAACAAACAAATGCAAACACACAAAATTTTCGAAAATTTAAGAGAGTAAACTCGACATTAAAGCTCATTTGCATAAAATTGTTCGCACACACACAATTCACACAGCTAATCATATTTCCTAAAATGCAATAAGATAACACAAAATGACCACCGGTAGGAAATAAATTTATTATAAAAAGTACATAAATGTTCTTAGAAATGTATTAACCTAAACGTGCTAGCCAAATGAACCGGAAAAAGTACCCGAAATTGGGGAAACAAAGAAGTTTTCTTAAAAAAACGGGAAACACAATAACCTTTAAGTGCAAATACACAGTAGGCGTGGGTAAAAGAGGGCAAAAATTACAGTAATCTCGTCTATAATCATTAACATGAAAGTACGGCAATTTAACGGAATAACTAATTGATTGCTTGGCTTACACAGTCTGATACTTGATGTTGTCCATGGAAGAGGCTTGTGAGTTGCTTCGAGAAAGAGAGTAACGTTTCCATGAGGTGAGCATTGCCCACAACACACATCCAAGCGAGAGACCACCCTGGAAAAAAGAATATTGAGAAGTTTATGTGTTAAACTGCTTTGTTAACATCCGTTTTCTGGTAGCCTACTCTACTAACTTTCCGAATCGAATGAACCATAAAAACTCACCAAAATCGCGATAAATCCGTTCCATAACATCCGTTGGTGCTCGGCATTTGTGAAGTCAATTCGTCGGTAGGTTTCTAAATCAAACAAATAATTCAATAATTAAAGTCAAATGCCTAGACTCTTAGCAATGATACAAAACAAACCTATTCTCACAATCGAGGCCACTTTCTTCGACTCGGCATCACATTCCGCTCGCCGGCTTTCTTTCCCCAATCCCTGCAAAGAAAATTTTAAACAATTCATTAACTATAAAAACTCATTACGTGGCTAGCCTTAGATTTAAACTTTCAAAACCTCTACCTCAAGACAATGGGCCAACTCGCCACCACAATTACTGACTCCTCTCGTTCCCAAGGCACATTCCATGTAGTTGTACGAGCAAGAAGACAAGATTACTTAAAGAACAAATTAAAACATTATTAAACCTTTTCCAACCTGGAATATCAGAGCACACTTTGTAGAGGTCGTCGAAAACTGGATAGAGGACGCCCGGTGGCCGATAGTAGATGGTGTTCTCGGGTTCTAAAACAAAAATGTTAATGGCGGAATTTGAGAATAGAATAAAAGAATCTTATCAATCAAGCCACATACCGGTCCAGTTGACAGAGTTATCGTAGGCCCAAGTGCCAATGAGTGGCATCATTAAACACACCAATTGATTGTGATCCTCGCATTTCTCGAATTGTCGGCCCTTCAGCGCTCGCTGGAAATTAAAAAGTTAAATACCTAGGCAGGCACCTAATTGCAAGTCCATACTAATTAGGTCTACTAACTGCATCTTGATTTATCCGATACTCATTGTACATATAACTCGCTATCAGTAACCAATCCTGCTCACCTTGTTGCAATCACAGAATTCCCTATCGCAATATTCTTGTCCATGTTGTTTCGCGTAGCAATCATCGTGAATCACGCAGCAATGGTTGAGTTCACCTAAAAATAAAACATTAGAATAGTTTACTCAAATCTCAGTCTTTTAATTTTTCACTTTAATGAGATTTCATCATTTCTGATGAAATCCATTGCCACATTTTCAGCTTATAGTGAATTAGTGCTTTGAATCTTTCAGAGAAATTCACATGTAGATTTCACAGGCGATATGGGAAAAAGGGAGAGCTGATTGATTGTTCGGATAAAAGGAGGAAAAATAAAACGAAACTGATCGATGTTATCACCAGATTTGAGCTTTCATCTCTTACTGAGAAATTGGTGGATCGATATGGCTTCTATCAAAGAAGCTATCTACGTTGTAAACTTTTCTCAGCGTGCCCCCTTTTTGCAATCTTGGAAAATGTTAGCTAGTTTTGCTATTATATTGCTCTGCGAAATCTTTTTCTTGTTATTTGGTCGCTGAATGTGCAAAATCTAGTCATTCATGGCAAAAGCAAAAGTGCATCTTTGCATAGACGGATCTTTTATTATTTTGGCAGGCCCAAACTAAAAATTTGAAGGGGAATTTGTTTCACAAAGAAATTACTTACACTGAGATAGAAACTAAAACTAAAAAGTGCAATTTTTGGCTTTCCAAAAAAGTTCCAGCAACGCCCTTTTATCAAATGTCTAAATCGCGTAATATATGAACCGTACTTCAATAACTTTAGGAACATGTCCTAGGAAATGACGTTTGTTTCCCGGAAAATATCACAAGGACTGGAGCGAGATTTTAGAACTGAAAGAAAGAAACAGTTGACACGTCTGTAAAGAGGGATTATTATTGTTGAAGGGTGTGGTAACAGGAAACTCGAAGCTGTTCTCGAAAAAATGACCACCGCACTCAACGCGTCAACGTCAATTGTCACGTTTTGAGGTCATCAAAAAAAATTGGAGACAAGGAATTTTTGGCTAAAGTTCCCTGAGATTTTTTTGCCCACGTGGATATTGGACCGTCACCTTTGGTTTACCGCAAGCATTTTTTTTTTCTTTTAGACCTCTCGGGTGCCCCTTGAGATTTTTGGAAAACACGCAAAAAATCTTGACGGGACCAATCAAAAGACAAAAAACTGTGGGCGTTGTTCCTTTGGGGAATCGAAAACCAATTATATTTTCGATTATTATCAGAGTTTTTGTGTTCGGTGAGTTTAAAACAAAAAAAGTTGAACGTTTGTGGGGAAAAGGTGAAAATGTGCCAAATGATTGACGTATTAAGTTCAAATTTTCAATCATCTAACCTTTAAAAGTTTTCGAGCTTCCACATTTAAGTCAAACAAAGAAATCAATGCCCAAAGAGATTAAAGTTAAATTTACAGAGCACTTAAAAGCTTTGAATAGCTTCTTAAAGCTACATCGGGGCAATAATAAACGGCTCACCAGCTACATCGGGGCAATCCTTGTGAATGAGTTGATGGGCAAGTTTCTTGCTTTCCTTCTCGCTTCCACATTGCCAGTGCTAAACAAAAAAAGATTAGTTGACAAAGAAGAAATTAAAAGCAAATTTTAAAGTTAAACTTTAAAGCTACTAAAACGGAATCTATGTTTGCTAGTGTTTAAATTAATGTACGGAAAATTTACTTGAAAGTGTTAGCAAAAACAGCGTACCACTAAATAGTTAGACATCTTTTAGAATCAACAAGCTTGTCATAAAGGTAACCAGCAATGGAAAGTGATCAATTTAGTTCTAAATTATCATAAAACTTGTTGCAAATGTAAAAAACAAGCAAATATTTTAGCAAGCTAGCAATTTAGCGAAGGTTACTGGTGGCAAATAGTGACAAGTGGCAAACAAGCTGTTGAATATTTGACAAATCAGCGCTTGAAACCAACAAAACACCTGCAAATCGATGGCATCTACTGGAGTCAGCAAAAACGCAAGCTGAACGAAGAGCAACGCCGCAACGAGCCTCAACAACATCTCGCGGAGAAATGAGGAAATGAGCGTAGACTGAAAACGGAATGGCTATTTATAGAGAACAAATGGCCAGTTATGCAAATTTAATTAAATGGAAATTTCATTTTACAGACAAATCTTGGCACAGAAAAGAGCGGCTTGTTTGAAGTGAAAAAATTTACGCAATTTTGTAAATTAAATTACGTGCCTTACTAATATAGAAAAAGACTGGGGCGGCTACCGTAACCCGGAGGTGTTGTAAAGCGCACTAACTATAAAGGAGTACTGTAAGTAGTACTTTTACAGTGTTACCTAGTAAAACTGCTTATCAAACAATTAAGCAAAAAGTGAACAAGTAAAACTTATTCGAAAGAGTTCAACGATTTTAGAATGACCTTTCAAAGATTTGATTCTTGAGAGATTTCAAAGAGATATCGTAAGATGAGGTGATCTCTCGAGGGGCGGAGTCTCGCGAAATTGATTCGCTCACTCTCAACAAAAGACTCTCAAGAATGAATGGAAAGAGATGGATAAGAAAGGAGAGGAATTCAAGAATCTAGAGAAGAAAGATAGAGAAACGAGAAGGTGCTAAAATAGACCAGGAAAGCAATACGAAGAATAGTAGATTTCAAACAGGTAGAACGAGATGACTGAAAGTTCAAAAGGAAGACCAAAGCCAGCTAAAGAGTTTGAAAGATTGCATCTAAAGGGTTTGTCTTTTCTTTTGCAACGCTTATCTTCTGACCACAAGCAGTGAGAATCGAAGAATCGAGTGTGCCAGAGGTGTTAAGTTTGTTAGAGCACCATAGAGCACTGTTTTTGGGGACTTTTGAAGTTCTTAAAATTCACTACATCGATCTAGTTTAAGAAATCTGATTTAAGCTAGCCAGTAAGTGCCAAAGTCTTTCACTAAAGAAAAAACGCACACAGAAAAGATGATGGATAGGACCGCTAAGTGATACAAAAGAAGAATTAGACAAGTGAGTGAGGAGTGAGGGGGTCAAGAGATCAAGAGACATTCGCGAAAAGAGAGAGGGATCGATCTGTGTTCGAGAAAGTGAGTGAGGCTTGAGAACAACACAGATCTCCATCCCTCGATCCACTTTTTCCTTTTTTTCATTTCGTTCCTATCTCTAGGGTGGCGTGATTCTTCGCGAAAAAAATGAGTGTTATGAGGATCTCAATTGTGAAGAAAAGATGGAAGAGAAGTTGCGAGGTGAGTGCTTTTTTTTATAATGCAATTTAGAAAGATTTCGAGAGTCTTTAGTGGTTTGTTTCAAATTGAAGAGCAATCAAAATTGATTTTCATACCTAAAATTTGAATTCTAGATATGAAAGTTACCGAAATATGGGGAATTTAAAGAGGGAAATCCACATAAAAATCATTTCCTCAATAAAAATAAAGTTTCTAAGATAAAAAACGAGTTTTATGAGGGATCTCAATTGTCTTTTTATATGTACCGTAAATACTGTAATAGTACCCCACCCCCTCGTACAGTCGCGTAGTCGCAAAAGTTTTTTAGTATTTCATTTTTTTGCAAAGCACCCGTACTTTCAAAAATGCGTCTTTGGTATCAAAAAATAGCTGAAATTCAGGGCTATTTTTTGATACCTAAGCGCGCATTCTAGCTTAAACCAGTGTCGAGAAAGACTCGTTCAAATCTAGACTACGCAACACTCCGCAGCGTCATTACGGGGTTGGGGTACTATTACAGTATTTACGGTAGGCTCAGCTCAGCTTTTTCAAACTTTTCATAAAGAAATCATAAAGTTTAAAGGTTTAAAAAGCTGAGTTAAGCTTCAAAAATTGGCACAATTTAAGAAATAGTTGGTTGAGAAATTCCTAAATTTTATTTGATTCCTAAATTTTTATTTAAATTGTTGCGTAGTCTAGATTTGAACGAGTCTTTCTCGACACTGGTTTATGCTACAATGAGCGCTTAGGTATCAAAAAATAGCTGAGATTCAGGGCTATTTTTTGATACCTAAGCGCTCATTGTAGCATAAACCAGTGTCGAGAAAGACTCGTTCAAATCTAGACTACGCAACACTCCGCAGCGTCATTACGGGGTTGGGTTACTATTACAGTATTTACGGTATTGTTATCTAACTAACGCAAATAAGATATTAGAAAATAATGTTACCGTTACAGTTTTCAAAAAAAAAAATTACAATTTTATGGTCAATTTTTAGGCTGATCGGTCTTCTAAATACCCCAAGAAGCGCTCATGTTTTTGAAATTTCTGCAATTGATTTGACTGCTCTGTGATTCTTTCTCGAGGTATTTATTTATCTTTTGGATGTGTTTTGAGTGGTATCCTGGTTAATTATTGTCATTTTGTTTTGCCGCTATTCAACTGAATAAAGCATATTATATATATATATATAAATATTATGTTAATCGACTGAATATGTGCAATTTCTATTTAAGTTTTAATTATTTCTACAATTCAACCTGCATTTAATCGCCGAATATATAACGAGCGCCAAATCACCGCTAGGTAAACCTTCTCAACTGTTTATGCTATTTTATTTTTACAAATATAACTGTTTAATTTAATAAAAGATTTAAAAATATCATTTATTCTATAAAATGAAAGAAAACTGAGCACTTTGACTTAAATTCAAGTTGATTTGAGGCAATAAATCGAATTCACGAATTGTTTACGTAAAGGGGGATTGAACTGGCGAGCTTTTGGGCTCTGACACTGAACTACACTTGTAACACTGAACTATACTTGTAACACTGAACTACACTACACTTGAACTAAACTTGACACTGAACTACACTTGTAGACTACAGCTCCATTTCACTAATATGGATAAATAAGATTTATCTTGGCTGAATAAATAGTAAAATTTATAAAATGATTCACTAAGTCATTGTTTCAACATGTTTTGACTTCTAGAAACAAATTCTCAAAGTCAAAGCGTCAAAAGAAAACAAAACAGCTACTTTTGCGTGCGTTGATGTGCAAATTGAGGGAAAAGAGGGGGAACTGTGGGAGATGAATCATCAAAGCGATCTCTTTTCTTCTCTTCTTCGATGATCACCATCTTTCTGAATGGCGTGATCGGGTTGAGCATTTTGAAATGGTGAAATACTCAGATGTCTGTGTGTCAATGAGTATGGTTTTTTTTGGGGAATTTTTTGATTTCTGGAGTGTATATTAAGGTGGAGTGATGTGCCAAAATGATTAATGGGTACCAAAATTTCAGACCATTCAGAAATTGAAACCATTTAGATCATTTGTGGCAAGAATTCCCAAGATGTCTCTAGAAAAACCTATCATAATCCAACTGTTGCAACTAGTGTAAGTATTGCGTTTTCTAAAACTATTAACACTTATAACTTTAAACTTTAAACCAAAACAGAACCTATAACTGCAAAAATAATCTTGTCTCTAGTTTTTGTCGACTTTATCTTCTGTGAACCTTTACAGAATAGGAAAAAAAGGGTAACTAAATGGATAAAACTAGAGACAAGTTGGCACATTTTAGAAAACACAAAGGAACACACTCTAGTTCTAGGAACTCTAGTTTCATCAATCTTTAGTTTCATATGGCTTTCTCCATCCAATATTAGCCCATCTACAATGCACAGCAAAAACGAGGAAGATTCCACTGTCTCTCTGTCTATATCCCCATTTTTTTTTCCAATAAACCCCTTTCAATTCAATCGTTTTCTTTGGGTTTTACGACCCCGTCAAAATGACCACCATCTCACAAACAAAAAAAAAATCAACACACGAAGAGCAATGCCCTCAAAAAAAAAGTAGAAAAGAAAAACAAACTTGGGGATTCCTTAGTTGAAAAGGAAGAACAAAGACGAAGAAGAGAAGAACAAGTAGAAAAGGAGAACAAACTTCGAGATTCCTCAGGTGATAAAGAGGATATAATTATTTATTATTGATTATTGACCAACAATAAGCAATACTAATTGTTAAGAATAAGAATTGAACAAACTACAAAACAAACAAAAACAAACAAATACAAATACAAATACAAAAACAAGTACTTTGTAGTCTTTAAAAGAAAAGCTACCAAGAAAAGCTATCAAGAAAAACTAAGCAGTCGTTAGATTCTTTAAGGTTTGCTTGGTTGATTATGATCCTAATGAATAGTCTTGCAATCAGTCGAGACAAGGGAAACCTATCGGCAGTCAAAAAATCCGCCGAATCCACTCACGCCACCCCGTTCTTCCGCCAAATGTTAAAATTTTCGTGTAATAATGGCAATGAGATATTTCCCTTTATTTCTTTAGTCCTTTTTTTAGTCTTTCAATCATTTTTATTTTTTTCTTTGGAAATTTGTCTACTCGTAAATCGTCACGCGCCAAATTATCCACGTGTATCGAAAGAGCAAAAACGACTAAAGGGGTGTATCTCTCCTAATTTAAAAAAATTAGATACCGAACATGGGCAAATTCGTTGGACAGGTTCCAAATTTATTTGTTAAGAGTTTTGTTTTTGGTTTTGGTCATAAAACGCTCGCTTTCTAGCCACCAAAGATGGGTTTTTAGAATGCAATGAGTTTAGAACGATGAAGCTAGAGAAGCTAGAGAAGCTAGACCTATTTGACGATGAAGCTAGACCTATTTTCCACTAAAATGATGAATCTAGGCTTTATTTTCCACAAAGTAAAAACGCAAAACTGTTGGAAAAGTCAAAACTAAGATCGAAATTATCGTAAATCCCAGACTTCTCAAAGATTGAAATTTCAGTAGCTCCATCCCTCCTTTACCCTACCGTAACAAAAGCTGACTTAAAACTCCCAAAAAGGCTTCTCAAAGATTGAAATTTCAGTAGCTCCATCCCTCCTTTACCCTACCGTAACAAAAGCTGACTTAAAACTCTCAAAAAGGCGAAATTCCCCGAATCGCAACACGATCTGATCCTTTCAATTCCCTTTTTCAATGAAAGACTGATCTCTTCCTCCCTTCGAGGCCTTCCCCTTCAATTTCACGCTTGATCTCTTCCACCTAGACAGTCCTTTTCACTAGTCGATCTATTCGAAAAAAGCGA